GGTGGTGAATCAACTTCAGCATTTGTGTCATGGTCCCTCGGAGACCTGAAAACTGAGGTTGAGGCCTGTCCTTAGGTCAGGCTGCTATTCATAGAATCATAGAATCGTTTAGGATGGAAAAGACCTTTAAGATCATCGAGTCCAACTGTCAACAGGTAGACCTCTACTTCTGGTAATCTAAAGATTACCTTGCTTTTCTTACCTGCTGTTGCTGTCAGCTTCAAGTGCACAAAGTTCCTTGTCATTGAACCTTTCTCCTGAACACGGTGTGACATGCAAAGTGTCTTATGGTGACTCAAAAAGTGCAATAAGAGGACATGCATGTGTGTTCCCTTTGAACTTGCTATGTGAGATGCAGTACCTGCACTGTGTATGGCTTTCTAATGATCTAATGAGAGGCCTGTGATGATCACCATCTCTAGAGCACAGTATGGCTTTTTAAAGTGTGGTCTGTATGAAGATGGACACAGCAGGTCTACAAGGAGCCATACCTGAAGCATGAATTGTATTTACAAATGCAGGTTTACTAATATGATGGCTAATTAAAAACTAATCACCATACAATGTTTGATATATTAACATTAAAAATGCAGCTATAGTAATAAAAATAGCATTGCTAAAATAATATCCTACTGAACAGATCTGCTCCTTGTGTATACTCAAAATCACATCTGCCTAGCTTAGTGACAAAATGAATTTTTTTTCTGTACTCATTAGTAACATAAAACTAATGGATTCTGCTCTGATTCTCTCCATAGCAACTGAATTCCCTGCCAGTTCCAGTTGCAGGACTACATTCCTCTCCCAGTTTGTTCAGTACACTTTTGTTGAGAAGAGTGGGACAGCACAGCAGTAATAAAAAGAAGCACTCTAGGTCCCTGAGATTGCAAAGGTGTAACTTAGGACAAAATTTACCTTCCAGGTTTGGTTTTTGTTGTTTTTTTTTTCTTATTGCTGCTGGTAATGCATCAGCCAGAAAGAACACAGCTTGACTTCCAGAACCTGGCTTCTGTTTGCAGATCTGGCAGTTGGCAAATATACCATTATACTGTAAACAGTGCAAATTTGATCCGGACGCCATTGAGATATACCAAGTGTGGAATCCCATAGTGCCATTTTAGACGGTTGCTTTTTGGAGTGAAACTGCACTTTAAACAGTGAAAGCTGATTATTTCTTGCTGCACTGTTTATTTTGTTCCAAACATTTATGATTTGATGGAAACAAGAAGCTCTGAGATAGCTTGAGATGCTGTAAAGGACTGCACCTGCAAAACATCTTTTAAGTACCATTGCTTTTTTAGTCAATAAAGTCTTTAAACTTTGCAAATGAATAAAAATACAGTTTTTGCTTGAGAGAAAGAAGTGATTAAAATACACAACACCCAGGAGTGTAAATGAACAGTAAATCATTGACACAGTCTTTTGAAATCACTTTCAGGCCTCTAAAATGCCATCATCCTCCCTGTTTGGGACTCTAAGTCCCCAAAAGTATATTTTGTGAGCTGTGAGAAGTGAGACTTGGTTACAAATTCAGAAATCACCGTATCATATGCATTGTTTTTGTTATTCCCTTTGTAAGTTTGTAGCTGGAAAAATCTATTTTGATCATGTTCTTCTAAGCAACCATTTCCCGAGCTATCTCATGCTATCCTAAACCTTGCACTGTCTTCCTCCTGTCCCCCAGCTGCTTCTCTGGAAGGCCATTAACCACCTCACTCCTTTTTCATTTAAAAAGCCTTTTCTAATTTCCAGCTTTAAATTTATTCATGGCTGGCTTATAATCATGTATTCTTATGCCAACATTGTCATTTAACTTAAATAGCTCTTTCCCTCCCTGATGTATACATAAAGAGACGTCATATTCCTGCTCTGCCTTCATCTTCCTAGGCTAAACATCTTGTTAGGCTCTTTTTGTCCTCTCTCATAAGCAAGGCCCTCCATCCCATGATTATTTGAGTATCCCATCTCTGCAACCTGCTTGAGCTTTGTGGGTTTTGTTAACATCCAAACGATATTTAAAGAATACAAATGTGAATCCAGAACCTCCCTGAGAAAATTGTTAATTACCTGTGCTCTGTAAAGTCTGCTTTTGTTAGGTGAAAAAGCCCTTCGCTATCAGGAATCTCCCCATGTTGATACTTTTACAACATGAGCAGGCAGTGGAAAGCTACTTCATTGTATATTGTACAGGTTTTACATAATTTCTTCAAATTCTTCAGGACACAGACCAGTACTTGCAGATGACAAGTGCATTTGTGGCATATAGTGGAATGTTTGGGGTACTACACAAGAGCGGCTTATAGGATACTTAGTATTGCTGGGGGCAGTAGATCACACACAGACACATGTATTTTGAAACCTGTAACAGGTTTGATACAGACAAGCCTATATGAGACTTGAAACAAGCTGGAGCTGAATTCTAAAACTACAATTTTTCAACTGATAAAGACTGCAGAAACCTGAGAACTGTAGCAACCTAAAAACTGCTGAGCAATTCCCAGTAAATCCATGAACTTTTCTGAGTAAGACATGGAAATGAAAATACAGGGGTGTGAGCAGTTCCTAAGAGATTATATTTGATTGAGTTAGTTACTGTAACTCATCAGTGGAGGCACATTAAAGGGCTGTGTGTTCAAGTCTAGTCCTTTGCAATACCAAAGTAAAAAGTATTAGCTAAACCACTTTCATAGTAGTTAATCAACCTTTTACAGTGGTTTAAGCAAACAGATTTTACTTCAAATTTGCAGTGAATTTGGACCATGCACATAATCAGCTTGCACAGCTCTATTGATGAGTGCTAACTCATTAAGCTGTGATAACTTGCTCACTTACAGTCATCTGTCCACACTCATCATGCTGCCTTTAGCAATATGCCTAGCTGTTTTATGCTGGAAGAGCATTAATGTTCTCTGCATGTAGCTGAGAAGAACTGGAAGGCTTTTAGCTTTGAATGAATGCAACCAAGGTATTTCACATGTCAGCAGCTTAGGTGTTTGGCAGAGAGAAAACATTTGAGTGTTTTTGGAACAAGAAAACAGTACAGTTTCCCTGTCCTTCTTCCTGGGCTTAGGATATGGTTGAATTTCCTACCTCAGCAGTCATTAAGAGCAACTTCATAGTTCCTACCACTGCATCCAGTGAACAAATAAATTTCTCTTATTGCATAAAGATACTATTGTAATTTCAGTGCTGAAGCCCAGGTAGGTCTCAAAGTTCAAACTTCACTGAGATGAATGGGACTCATTCATTCAGGAAGCAGAGCTGTTGCAAGTTCTCAGCAGGCTCAGGAAGACAAGGTTGGACCCATTTTTGCATTTAATTCATGTAGCAGAGCTTTCCTTTAAAGCTAACATTGATAAAGCCATATTACCCTATTGCTCTGATGTGGCATAGGAATAATTAGGGATGCTTAGTTTGTTTGAAAGTAAGGCTGCCCAAAATAAGATATGCAATGAAAATTTAAGTTACTGTAATCGAGTTCTTCTGCAATGAGAATTGAAAACAATATATAGAGCATTGTATGTGATTATAAATTATACAGGTTAAATATAGCGTACTACTACACACTTAAAATGGTTGCTAATAATTTCTGAATAATTTTTTTGACCGATAGGAATAAGGTAAGTATTGCTTCTTCAAAAAATATTGAGAAACAGGATACAAAAAGAAATCCTTATCATGTTTCTTGGCGATGCAAGACCAAAGGTAAACACTTTGAAGCTTATCATTCTGGGCAGACTTTTCTGTGTCTTGTATTTGGCTTGATCCTGAGCATTTTTCAATTGACTTGGATCAAATTCCGTAATCAAAATCATAAAGACTTCTTGGTTTATTACAGTAGAATGGCTTTGAAGCCAGTTCTGCTCTCCTATTACTCAATGAGTTTTCTCTAATACTTAACAGTTATACACCTTTTTAAAGCAAAAGTAAAATGTATTGTTGCATCACATAACCTTCATTTACTAAGCCTAACTTTATCTTAACAATATAGAATCTTGCACATAAAATCGAGCTTATTTTGCAACATGGGAACTGTTGTAGAAGAATGCTTAGTAAACTTACAAAATATCCAGGCAACCAATACAGTGCCACAGGATGAATCTTTTAAAATGCAGTCATGTTCATAATCTATGCTATACTTCCACAAGTTAAACTACTTTAACTGAGGGATAGCTGTAGTTCAAAGGACGTGGGACTTGTCCCATCTCTCCCATTGACTCAGTGAAGCTGAACTGCCACTGAACTGTGCAGTTTCCCTTGATGTAAAGTGGAAACGGTTTGCATCAGGTAGGTCCCCAACAACTTCTTTTAGAGGGAATGTTTTCCTCTAGTGGTACGTACCTATACATTGTCCTGCCATATACCTTTACTTTTGCAGCACAGATGTGTTAGGTTGATGCCACAAATTCCTTCCTGTGGAGTTAACAGAACTGAATCAAGATTTGCAGGATTAGACCCACAGCTTGCTTCTGTACAATATTTGCAATAAACTGATGATAATGTCATTTGCACATTTTACTAAAGAGAGAAAAGCAGTTATTGTTCTTTCTGTCAGTTTAGTTGATTGTGCCCCTTTCTTTTCTTGCTGTGAGTTCTTAAATCTGTGCTAATGAGAAATGACCAAGGATGATCTGACTGTTTGTAGCATGTCACTCCTGTTTTGTGCTCCATTTTGTTCCTTGAAGTTTCACACAATAATGGCAAAACAATAGCACACTCAAATCAAGTACTAAATGTGTAACCTATTTGTAGAATGTGTTCATATACAAATATATACTTCTAGTGCTGCCTACATTCAAAATGTGCCTGTATGGAGCATTCTTCATATTTTACAGGAGGTATGAAGGTCAGCAACTTGGAAATTTATAGGAAAAATCCTAAACGTCATCACAATGCATGGCCAAATCTTCCATATTAAAGTACTAGAGAGTGCTCCTGTGCAGCTACAGAAAACTGCTTAGGTATCTTCTAAATGAGTCGATAACTTTTTTTTTCCCTAGGATGTAATTGGAAAAGCACTGCAGTATATTGGAACATATGGTGAGCTCTGCAACACAGAGCAAGTTGTGGCTCTGATTGACGAGGAAATGTGTATCAACTGTGGCAAATGTTACATGACCTGTAATGATTCTGGCTACCAGGTAAGAGCACAGCTGTAATTAGCAGAAAGGCACAATGAGTTATCTTTCTGCTGCTGGGAAGAAAGAATCCACCTTCTGTTAATGAGCAGGTGGGAAAAACAGATGTCTAAAATATTGGATTCGAACCCCAGCATGCTCCCAGGCTGTGCCGCACAAGCCCTGCCTGCCCTGCTGAGTGTACAGCATCTCACTGGCTTGCTCTAGGTCACTCTCCCAGTCTCTCCCTAACTGCAGGTGGGAAGGGGGATTCTTTTTAAGAGGAAGAAAATGAAGGAGACATAAGTCGGATAGCAGTAAATGCAGTTCTTTCGTGGTTTTCAAGTACATGAGGGAGAAAGGGAAGAATGCATCCCTTCTCACTAAGGGGATGTGGGGAGACAAAAGCTGTTCTTATTGCCAAATGCTTTTTAAGAAACCTAGTCCTTGTTCCATCAGTGTAACTGAACTTGAACTAATTCAGGTTTCAGGCAGGTGGGTTTCTGTTTTGATCTTGATTGAGGTACAAATCCTTTCTCCAGGATAGCTGCCAGGCTTTAGAGCAGCAGGTTGAAGTTTGCAGAAATCATTGTGACCAGAAAATAGTAAAATTTTGAGCAGGGGCTCCTGTTTGCAGCAAAATATTTCCTTGATTTCTGCTCAGTATGGTAACATCAGTTGTATGAAATGTATCAGCATTTCTACCTGCCATTCCTTGCCATGTCCACTGGAGCTGATGGACTGGTCTGCACTAAAAAGGAGGACTCATGTTCTTTTAGAAAACGAAAATATGGTCTAGCATAACCTCCATAGAATCCAATATGCAGCAAGCAATAATATCTACATTAATTTTTCCATTCATCCCAGTCCGAGAATAGTTTGTCAGAAACAAATATTTAACTGAGCACCAAGTTTCCTCTGAAAACCATGACCTTTTGTTATCCTTAATTCAGTCTAATCAATAGTAGGTCTGATGAATTTAACCACATACAGTCAAATAAAGAAGTCTTCCCATGTAAAATCAACCCCTGCAATTAAAACAAGTGTGTCAGAGCAAAGGTAGACATGTTTTTTCCACTGATACAAGAAAATTAATACTGCATTTATACCAGATTAGATTACTGCAGTAGCCTTTTAACTGTCTAAATTTCTTCGTGACACTACAATCTTCACCTCTTCTCCTTCCCTCATATTTCCCAGTGAAGGTGAGGATGTAGCCCTTGGAGAGCAAAAGACTGCGTTTGTATTTAGTAAAACGTTCTTTTCTATAGCTGGAAAAAAAAAAACAGCACCAAAAGAACCAAAGTTTAAAACCCCAGGAGGTTTTCTAAGCACAAAAAAAAGTGTTCTTTTCCTTAATTAAGGAAATTGGAAAGAAATTAATTGCAAAGAATTGCAAAGCAATTCTTAATTGCAAAGAAATCACACCTCCCCCCTTCAAAATAGCATCTGCTTTGTGCTTCTCTTTGTTTCAAAAATATCCATACTGCTCTACAGATCTATCACCTTGTAGGACTCCAATAGAAAAGCCTTCCTTTAAATTTAAAGCTAGCACTGTAGTCCTGACTTCCTCTCCCTCTTTGAACTCCCTTTCAAGATGTGCATTGTTGTTAGGGAGAGAGGAAGGAGTCCTTCTTAAGTACTTACAAACCAAAGCTCTCTTTGTGCTCAAGCTAAACTAAAACTTTTAGATTCAGGGCAGTTAGTACCTACTTCATTCATGTCCTTGCGGGTTGCTACAGTAACTTCTGTGCTTTCCTAGTAGTGAAACCCCAAATGCGGCAAATCTGCCTTTGGAGCCAACCTGCAGCACCACCGACCTAGTACCAACCATCTCCTCCCTAGGCTCCCCCAGTTGCTAACAGTGGTTAGGGAGATTTGCAAAGGCACCACCACTTGTTTGCAGAGAAGTGAGAGTTCAGCTTTCAGGCCTGATTTTTCCTTCCTAAGACTCTTAAAAGTAGATATTCAGTGGGGTTTTTTTATTTTTCACTTTTCTAGGCTTGCTTCTTAGATATTGAAGCTTTTGCAGTTGTGTGATGCTTTTGGTTTTGCTTTTAATTGCCATTTCTATTATACCAGGAGCTTATTTCATTGAGACTTCAATTGTTATTTCACATTAAAATACACTTATCACTCTAATTGGTAATGAGGATTCACTGCATGGAAACGTGAGAGCTAAAGCAAGCTCTGCCTGCCCAAAACTCAGATATCCCTTTCAAAGATTTGCAAAGGAAAATAATCATACAAGGCACAGCATGCTGTTTTTCTCTACTATTCATTAAATTAGATTGTTTATGCTGTGCTGAAAATAAAAGTCAAAAGAACACACTGTGGCCAGCGTTGTGCTGAAGCTGTACAGACATGGTCTGGTGTCTGCCCTGAACCAATAACCCTGGCAAATTGCTGTCTTACAAAATATTTCCTTCACATGAACTAGAAATATCCCTCTGGGAGTTTAAACATCATGGGCCAAACTCCTCCTTTTGTAACCAGCCCTTGTGACCCATGAGCTTTCAGTGAGGTATAATTTGGCCCATATTTCTAATTTTAAAGTGTCAGGAGTGGGGGTTGTTTTGTTCCCTGCCAGTTGAACAGTTGCTATAGCTGCAGTGCAGAATGACACCAAGATGTCTCCAAGTGCTGTAGCACAGGAAATGCAGACACTAAAATGGGAGCAATTTTGACCTTTTCTGTGAGTGACATCAGTAATGTTTATTCCTGTTCACAGGCTATCCAGTTTGATCCCGAAACCCACCTGCCCACAGTTACTGACAGCTGTACAGGCTGCACCCTGTGTCTCAGCGTCTGCCCTGTTATCGACTGCATCCGCATGGTTTCCAGGACAACACCTTACGAACCAAAGCGCGGGCTGCCCTTAGCCGTGAACCCCGCGTGTTGAGGTGATCGGTCCAACAGCTAATGTGAACTTTACACTTGTTTGATGCAATTGATTTGCTTTCTAATTAGTCCTTGAAAATCTACTCTTATAAAAAAATGTAATATTGATAGCCGTTACAATGAACACTGTGTTTTCCAATTATTCTTTTTACAACAATTAAGTTTTGAAATTACAGAAAGGCAGCAATTAGTCAGTCATGGCTGTCAGTTGTCCACTATTTGAAGTGTAACTTTCTCTTCACAATTCATGCTGTAATTTCAAAACTTCTCTATAGAGTCTTTAATCTCTGTGTATTTTCCGGCTGTAAATATAATTAAGAAAGCATTTTTTGATGAACTACAAATCAATGTGCAAGCTAACTGTTTTCAAGGAGGCATTTTGTAATTAAACATTACATTTAGTTTTAAAAGAGTTTCTTAGAAGATGTAATTAACTACATAGCGTTCAAACAAAGCAATATGGTTTCTATTTTTCTATGGGAAGAAATGAAAGGGAGTTTAAAATAGAATTTAAGAACTGGATTAATCACTTTCAAATACTACAGCATATGGTAGTGTCTTTTTATAATCCTTTCTAATTCTTTCTCACACTAGTCACTTTATAGAATAAATTTGCTGTGCACTGACACATGCTGGACTCTTCAGATTTGTGTGTTGCATGGGTAGCTTGATCGTTACTTTTCCCCCCCAGTGAACACTCATAACATCTCTCTAAAAACAGTTAAACCAGCTTATTATGAAGTCCAGGCATTTCAGGATTCTGAGATGTGACAACATTTTTTGCTCCAAGCTCATCCTCTAAATAACTTTTTAATTGTGCCAATTAAAGCTCCAGAATGTACACGTTACAGGTCAGAGATCTGATTATGTGCAAATGGAATACACACCCTGCAGACTGCGTTTGCCAGATACAGACACATAGGGCAAACTGGCAAGATGATTTCCCCCAGTGCCAATTCTTCATACTTATTGGTTATGTATGGTTATAATAGTTTCACAACCAAAAAGAAACACAGATTTGTCTTTCTTGCTAAACAATATCTCAGTTTTAATCCATTTTTCATTCACAGGAAGAACTTTCTAATATGAACGTATTGCTGTCTGCTTTGCTCCACTTAAGAATATAAAGCCTTTAGTTTCATCATAATAATAAATGATCTATCAATTCAATTTCTTATACCCTATATTGTGATCAGCAAAACTTTGATTAAAAATATACCCTGACTTTTGTTTCTTGATTTATGAATCGTGCACCAAATTATAAATAAATGTTGAAACTGACTTAGGTTTGTTTCTGGGGTTTTTTTTCCATTTACCAAACAGATTTTTCTTGCAGAGCCTTGTCAGGTGGTTTTTCATGATCTCTAAGATTCACTCCAGGAATCATTAATGAGTTAATTCATGTGTACATTATTCCATTAATTGCCTACAGTGCAGAATGTAGCATGCTCTTTGCCCCTCTCTGGCACCTCTTTGTCTGCCTTTGACTTGTCTTCCTTTTGCATCCCTTCCCCACACGCACACACTTGCGTGCACACATATGTACACTGTGTCCCTCTAACATTTTGAAGTGTCATTTCATTTAGTATCCTTGCTCCACCAACACTGTTTTGCTGACACTTTGGGCTTGCTTGATGAGATCCCTTGGCAGGCTCAAGCCCAGTGTCTCCACTAATAGCCTTCTCTTTGTACTTTAATTTTTCTCTTCATCATTGTGGATTTTTCACACTCAGATGAAAACAGGAACAGGTAGTTGTACTGCTTAGAAAATATTTGCCTGGAACTTCTTTAAAGCTCTTGGTCTTCTGGTAGTTTCTTCTCTTATGTGAGCTATAGAGGACTCACGAGAAGAACGAGCTGGTCTGTGAATGTTAGGGGCAAAGTTTGTACCACGTACCGCTTGTACCTCTTCGGAGGAGCTGGCTGACAGGCAGCATGCCCTTAAGTGGGGCAGAAAAAAACATCAAAATCAGATCATCTGAAGGTAACATTTTATGTTCTCAGTTAGCAAATGCAAGGAAAAGTAGCTACCTTCTGCCAGGCTGTTACCATGTACTTCTTATTTTGTATCCTACCTACCATGGACCCTGAGGGTGAGAGGCGGTGTGTCACCTGCCACTGAACTGGCCAGCTTCTCCAGGTCTTTTGTTGCTGCATCGTCAGACCTGATTACCTTACTATCCTGAAGGCATCACATCTGGTAGTGTGGCTTCTTTTAAATACAGGACAATGCCAGGAGATCTAATTTAAGTAGCTAAGCACACGTACATCAAAAACGTAGCAGCAAAATTAGAGCTTTCCCTAGGATAATCAGTAGTTGCAGGACGTCCAGTATTCCCAAGTAGGTATAAAGTAATCTTTGGAGGAGTAAAGGCATTCTTTGTGAATCAAGATTATAATCAAGACTATAATTTGTTTACCGAAGAAGGAATAACGGGTTATATTATGCAGGTTTCTTTCTCACTACCCGCCCTCTCCCCCACTCTTGTTCTGTCAAGTCTGTTAACAGTTTCAGGAAATGCGTTCCCAAATGAATGTGAATACTTTCTAGCTCTGACAGCCAGCAATAAATCTGTGTGTTGCAGGAACTCAGAGAAATGGCCACATTTAGGTCTCCTGCAGGATTGTCTTTTAAGTCATTGGGGTAAGGCAAGGTGTAAACAGGCAAGGGAGAGAGCCACAAAGGACATATTCCTGGATTTTATAGGTTTTTCACATCCATCTTGGGGAATCGATCCCATTCAGTGCATTCAAGAGCCAAGGAAACAAATCAGAAAAATCTGGTCTATTCTGCAAATGCTATAGCCAGTTATTAAAAAAGGGACATGAATTTTCAAAGTGGAAAAGGTTCCAAATTAAGCTCATACATTTCAGTGATTTAGTCACACATTTAAGGAATTATGTATTATTAAAGACATGCTGAGCAAGATCCTGCAACCCTAGCCCTCACAGTTTTTAGACATGTTGTCCTATTGATCACTATTATAAAATATTGTAAACTGTATTTGACAAATTAAATTATGATGGAACTGCCATAGCTCATCCTCCAGTAGCACATTCTTATTCACATCATATTCCTGAACAGAAAAAGCTCCCCATGTCAGTGTATGCTCTGCAGTCCAAGAAATACTTGAAAAAGCTGCCAAATCTGCTTGTGTGAATCCCAATGCACCCATACATGTTCATTGGAAAAAGAGATGTTTTGCCTTGCTAACAGACTATACAGGCAGTTTGGTTTTTGGCCTCTAGGATGAACAGACATCATATTTCCAAGGCACTGGATTGGCAACGTTAATAGCCACATTTGAAAAATTACACAAGATTTTTAAAACGCATCATTTCCTGATTTTTAAATGAAATATTAATCTGATCTCTTGGCAAAATTAATACTAGCCTTTGTGCATGAATCTGATGGGTAGCCTGTATCGCCGGTGTTGAAGCCAATATACATGTATACTGCTCCTTGCTCTGATGCTTTACCAATTGCTAGAGAAAGCCTTCTTTACAGATACGCATTTGCTCAGTTCATAAAATTTGTCAGGAGCAAAATGCAAGTTACCTGTCTAGACTTGCTGCCCCTCTTTGTTGTGTCTTGGAGGACACGGCTTTCCACCATGTGGCCTCTGGGAGAGGTGACTCAGCAGCTGCAGGGTGGCTCGCTGTCATTTCTGCAGTCTGCCTGCCTTCCAGCATGTATTACTGTCACCTTTGGCTCCTCCAGCTTTGTTGTCTTTAAGCCTTTTATCTCAAGGTGGCACAAGTGATTGCTAGATTCAAGGCAAACTACCCAAAACCCAACTGCGCACCATCAACCCCATGCCTCATAAAACCACTTTGTTTAACACAGTCCAAGACTGCAGCCTTAGAAATACAGTGTAAAGCATAGATATTTCCTATCAATAAGAAGATCCTGCCAACGTATTCTGTATGTATGTTTCATTATTTATCTACTGTAAGATGGGGTTGGGCATGTTGTTAAAATTTTATATTTTTCAACATGTTTCCTAGTAGAAAATATTTTTTCAGATAAAATATTTATTTTATTGGCAACGGTTTCACTTCACCAGGCTGCTCCACTTCTTTGATGAACTGTGGAAGATAGGTTTTCATTGGCAACATCTGGCAACCTGGCAGACTCTCTCAGCAGCTGGATTGGTAACTTCAGAGTTGCTTCTGGGTCTTTCATATAATTAGTATGCTTATGGGCCATCTGGGTTGCTTTGTCTTCACTGTTGCCATTTCCTGTCTTTTCTGACAAACTGTAAGCTCTCCAGTTATTTCTCCAGGAGATCAGTTTTCAATAACTCCTCTTCAGGTTGGTCTGCTGGGTCTTGTGCAAACGTCCATGCTGGCCTTGCCCAGGAGCAGAGACCCCGCTTTTATCCCTCCTTCTTTTTTTTGGAGGTCTGAATCTGCCCATCATGGGTTTTTTGTGCCGTGGGAGCAGAGCTTCTCATTGCTACCAAGCAGTGAAGCCAGAGGTTAGCTCGGCAAGTTGACATGTATCACATCTGCACAAATAAAGCCCTAAACAATTTCAAATTTTAGCAGTAAACACATGTGTGCACGCGCGCGCGCACACACACACACACACACACACACACACACTCCTCTTCTAGTGTGCCTCTAGGCAAACTAAAGTTACCACAAGGAAATGCAAGTGTTCATCTTCTGTAACAGACCTGCAAGTTGTTAAGCTTTACCTTGATATACCTACCTGGATGTTTTCAGACACCAGGGATGGGCAATATATGTTAATTAACTTGGACTGAGCACTGGAACAGAAGAAGGTCCTTCCTGCTGTGGCTCAGCAGCTGAAAACTGTAGCTGTTCAGTTTATCTATGCTTTGCCAACATACCTCTGAATTTAGTGGGTTTATTGTGCTGCTGCAGAAATACCAGCCCTCTTGCATACACTCAGTATTGCAATGAGTACAGGGAAGGTTTCCCGTGCTCCGCAGAGAGCTGCACCTTACATGGCGGGGCTTCCACTGCAGGGCCCGGCTATGGC